GAAACGTTCGAATTACTGTTATATTCGATTTTATATTAAGAAATTTTTACCTTGGAGTTAGATATTTAAATTATTATTTTTAATAAATTACTACGCATCAATAATCGCGTTTGGCTCTTATTGTCTTCTAATTTGCAATTTTATTGTAGCATTCTTTCATTCTTATCTTTTATAAATGCTTGTTTGACAATAATTTACATCTTGAAATTCTTAACTCGTAAACTAATAAATGATAATAATCAATTTTTTTCGAAATATTCGAAAAAATAAATAAATAAATAAACGCGTCAATAAAAAAATTTTTTTTTCATTTTCCTACCTCAAGAATCGGATTCTTTCGAAATCTATATTGGCAATTGAATTAACAAATAGGTCTCGTTCAATTTTGCTTTTATCGAGCAGAAAATCATTAGAGTTTAAGCCTGAAGGACACGAGGAATCACAGCCCATGATCCGATGATTATGATAATCGATACGTGGAAAAATGATAAAAGTTAGATGTTGCCAAGATCATTTGCTTAATAGAGAATGATTGACGTGTTCCTTCGCTGGGACTCTCATTGATGCGCGGCACGCGCAGCTTCCCGATTAATTAAAAATTATACGAAGAATCACAACAAAGCATTTCATGACGGGAATACGTCGTGCGTGACGATCACAGTGTGGCTGTACGAATGGTATTGACTTCCCGTCATATTTACGTGCACAGAGTATATGTCTATCGATTCGCTAAATAGAAATACCTGTCGTTACATTGCAACCAGTAATATGCGTGTGCCTATGTATGTGTTACACTTTTATAATTTTGTAATTAATTGAGATCTGTATTTTTGAAGCAAATTAAAATTGAAGCATTTTAGGATATATTTTATGTAAATATATAACTTTTAATTTCAGAAATCTCTGTAAATATTTGCGTTCAATAGATAATAGATTATCTTTTTAGAATTACTTATCCTCCATTTTAATGATCATTCTTTAGTAAATCATCCCCGGTCAATTTTTCTTTTAAGCTCGATTTAGATTATTGTTGTAATTGTTGTAATTTTTTATTATTGAACATTTAAATATTGTATATTTTAAATATTTTTACATGTTAAATATTGCAAACTATTATATTCCGTAAAAATTTCTTTTTAATTCAAATGTTTTTCATCATGAGCATTTAAGCGGAGTGTCGATAACAACTTAACTGGCAGTAATGAATTCATTACTCATATTCCTATATTGTTTATTTAAAATTAATTTGAAAGTGTCATCGTAGAGATACAGCTTTGTTCCATCTTAATTTCAGCACTCGAGAATTACAGTATATCGATGCCGTGAATGTTACGAGCAGCAAGGAGGGCTGGTTGACATTGAACATCAGCGAGGCTCTTGATCACTGGGTGAACAACCCGGACGGAAATCGAGGGCTGTATCTCTCTGTGCATTCTGCTGATCGTTCAGGTAAATGCTTCATATTTTTTAATTTTTCTTATTTCTTTTATTTTAAAGAAAATACCGTAAAGTATTTATTCAATATTTAAGAGCAATAAGAAGAAAGAAAGAATAGAATAGAATAGAATAAATAGAAAGAATAGAAAGAATAGAAAGAATAGAATAGAATAAATAGAAAGAATAGAATAGAATAAATAGAAAGAATAAAATAGAATAAATAGAAAGAATAGAAAGAATAGAAAGAATAGAAAGAATAGAAAGAATAGAATAGAATAAATAGAAAGAATAGAATTTTATCTTTAACTGCGCTATTTTTATAAAAATGTAAATAATTGCCAATTAACTTAAAAAAATAAAAAGAAAATAATAATAAAAAGAAGAAAAAAATATTCATATCAAGAATTATAAACACTTATAGATTAAATCGCAAGTCTCTTCTATTAATCGTCCATCATCCATTTAAACTTCTTAGCCCAACTTCTTAGGAACAGTCCGCTAAATATAGATGGCTTCTGGTTTGATAATAAACACATTCAATGTTTATCGAGATCGGGTCACGAGCGAAGTACGAGGAAATTCAAACTTTAACTCTTAGTTTGCCGAAAATCCATCTTTTATATTTATTCTCTATAAATGGCGAAAAATATAATAATTGAAACAATCGATCTCTCGATTAGTTATACATGAGGCAAATTAATCAATTGCACTCTTCATAAATTAATCGACTTGATTTTGAGAACCAGAACACATATATCTGCTTTATATTTTTTATATTTTCTATTTTTTTATTTTAATTAAAGAGTTGATCAGTTTGACTTTTGAGAGATTTACATGTAATATTATAAAAAAATGCATATAGGTTTAGTCCTTTATTTGAATTAAAGCAACGTATTCACATCTTTTATATGCTTGGCGGTCGTGTGTGTGTGTGTGTGTGTGTGTGTGTGTGTGTGTATTTTTATATATTCGTATGTTCTTCTATGTGTGTACTACACCTATTCAGCGCTTTCCTGCCATACCTTTGTGTTATGCGTGACACGAAAGATTAGTAGCGAGTAGTTGACAGCTCTTGAATCACGAATCTCTTCCTAGTCTCTTCCTGCGTTCGCAATTTATAAGAAACACTCGACACATCTTGCGTCACAATTTATTTATTATTATTATTTCTTATCGCGACAAATAAATTACTGAAAATTTTCATTTCACGATATTGAAAATATCCAGGAGGAAATCGAGAAGAAAATCAATATTGTTCTCTTATCAATTTAAATCTTCGTTAAAGAGTACGACTTTAACGAACTTTAATAACACATTAAAAATTAATGTTACAAGTAAAACTCAAGTAAAATGTCTGAGACTATGTACAGTTTGAAATCGAAACAATCGATGTAACGTAAAAACTCTTTTCTAGAAATGTTAATCACGTAGGGCTTTATTATTATTATATGTTTGAAATATCTTTATCTTTATTTATCTTGATTTCTAATTTATGTATAATTAATATACCTTACAAATATTCCCATGCGCGAATATTCTACCGCTTTTGGGAAGTTAAACGTTATATTTTTTACGTCCAAGTTCTCTTGATCTTATTCACGATTGACTCGCATACTTTTAGTTAGCATTCGAGATACATCATCCGCGATAGCGTCGTCTTGTCTTCCCACACTGATGAGATACATTTACGAATACGAGATGTGCTCGCGTCGAATTCAAGAGGCCAGCAATCTCGAGGAAAGGATAAGAGAGGAAAGGATATAAAGAAAAAAATTGGAAGATTGACGATTTTACTACTGAATTTCCGAACGAGGATTACCGCGCGAAGAAAAATAACTAAGATAAATAATTAATAGAATTATTTATTAGATTATTGAAATGAATCTTGCTCGATTCCATAATGCAAACGTAATGACTGTAGATCGTAAACACGTTGATTCTCGTTCGTAGACGTAAACAAAGTATTTAAATGTAAGGAATAATAGATAAGATCTTTAACTTTCTTCACTTCAAGGAATTAGGGAGTTTCAAGATTGTTTAACCTTCTTCAACTTTCCTTACCTCGAGGAATTAGTTTCAGGATTGTTTCTTACTTTTTAAATACTGTCAAATATTTAGAGATTTTCTTTCTTGAAAGGAACGAAGCAAAGGATCGAAGCATATTATGTATTTTGCATATTAAACTTTTTTGCTATATTCCGCAAATGAAAATTTAATTTATTAATTAGCGATATGTAACATTGGATATTATATAGTGGATATAAAATAAATCGTAGGTTCAAGTGTACAAATACAGCGCGTGCGTATCCAAGTATATACAGTCTACTGTGTCACGTGTCATGTTTATTGTGTATGTGTGCGGTTTGTTGTTCGCCGCACCTAGATTATTTCATTACTCGCTCTCTTTCTCTCTCACCTGACTTCTCTCCTCCTTCCTCTTATCTCGCTGTTCAGAACACGCAACCGGTTTACCTTTGATCGTTCAATATAAAACGCAAGATCGGAGAGTCGCATGCCTCTCTCACGAATCTCTACGCCTGACTTCTGCTCTTCTCTCTCTGTCTCTCTCTCTCCCTCGCCCGTACGTTTCTCCTGCGAAAAACTCCAAGGAGAATATCCTATCCTGTGTCTAAATATAGGCTAAATATAAATCCTAAATATAAATCAGCAATAATTATATGTTTTTCACACGCTTTTTAACACGCACGCATGCGCATGCGTTTCCTGGCAATTTGCGAATAATAGAATCTCTGGCAGCAATTCTAACTATTTCGATAAAATTCGATAAAATTCATAGATTTGTTTTGGAAATTAATAATTCATCTTCCGAACGAAGTAATATTCTCGTCAATTTCCAAGTATCGAATAAGATTTCAGATTATTCGAATTCAATTCACTTTTCCTATGAGCAGTTTTATTATTTCTACTATATATATATATATATATATATATATATATATA